TTCCTTCTTAGGTATTTTTTTTTCTATCAGTGTGTCCTGCACACAGACATAAAAACATAAAAAAAATAAAAAAACAAAAACCAACTACACACAAACACAAAATCTGAGTTACTGAAATAGTTTTGTATCAAACTCTAGTATCAATTCTTTGCTTTTAATATAAATTTAGTCAAATTCTAATTTAATCAGATTCCATTCAGATGGAAACAAATTTCCATTAAGTAAGTTAAAACATTCCCATCCACCCCTCCTTCCTCAAACCAGAATTCTAAACGGAAAAAAAATAGTTAAAAAGATCAACACCCCCCCTTTTCCTTTATGTCTCTCTTTCTCTCACCCTTAAAGCAACACAGCCAGAAAAAGCAGGGGGTTGGATTAGATGACCTCCAAGGTTCCTTCCAACTTTATTATTCCTGCTAACTTTGGGCTGTTCTTAAGAGTATAGAGAGACAGAGAGAAGAAAAGAAAAACAAACAAACAAACACATCTTTCTTCACTCTTTTTGTTGGCCAGACAAACTGAGTGAAAGTATTTCTCTTGGGATTAGAAACAATTAACAGTCACATTTACCTCACACACAAAAACTTTGACACACATATATATACCAAGACAAGGAAAAGAGAACAGAAAAGAAAACAGAACTTTTAGTTCTACACATCCTGGTCATTCCCACCACAAATCTCAGCTAACTCGAATTAGAGAAGGCAAGAATCTTAAACATACCACGTGATTGCACAGAAAGATATAGAGAAAAAGAGAATCACTACTTCTTATTTTTCTTTTAAGTACCTTTATTTAGCCAATTCCATTTTCCTAACTTTGCTTTGCTTACAGGACCTAACCAGCTGGTTACTCAAATCCAATTCTTTCATTCACCCATTCCATTCCATTTGCACACAGCCTTTCCCTTTTCCCTAACAAAAGGTCCTGCGCTCTGGCCAAACCCCCATGCTTTCCAGGGTCTGACACTCCAACAGATCCTTTCTGCGGCTAGGAAAGACCAGAGAAAACAAAATCCAACTGTGATTGGGAAAAGGGTCTTCTCACTCACACAGAGACATACACACATTTCTCTCATTCCCCTTCTTTCCAAAGCAGTCCTTGAGCTTAAACCCAAAACTCCCTTTTCTACCCTGGCTACAGACACAAAGGGTCTGTGCCAGCAAGATGGGTTTATGTTTCCTTTTCCTGTTTGGGGCTACTCAATTTTCTAATCCCCCCACCATACGAAGCAGCACAAATTTACCATATCTTCTTTTGTTAAATTTAACTTAGTAATCAGCTTGTTGTATGGTGGTTTCCCCCAGTTTTCTAACAATTTTCCTAATGGGCTGTGGGGATCTATTTTTAGTTTTGGATTTTTCCTAACCTTTTTCACACATTCCTTCTCCTGGGACCCTCCTGAATTACCCATGGTTGGTTTACCACACAATTTTGTTGTCCTTACCAATCTAATGAGACCATGGTTCGCTTCACCAAGCCTCTTTCTCCTTTTACTCAGGAGTTCCCTCACTCCGCCTTGCCAGTCCAAACCCTCGGGACATCCACAGCTTGTGTATGTCTTGCCAGTCCTGTGGACCCTCAGGGCGTCTTACACACACCTCTCATAGATCTCAGACTCAAACTGTGCTACCCAACCACCCCTGACTGCCTAGGTTTTATTCCTTGGTTTACCCCAAGTTTTACTCTCTTAGGTTCGTGCACGAAGTTGCCCGGTCCTTGTCCTGGTAATTCTCTGGTCCCCTCTCCTCAGTTCTTACCAATCACTATTTGGTCCGTGGGCCTGGCTCCGTTTTGCTTCCTCGACCTGCGACTGCAACTTTGGACCATTGAAATCAATGGGGCATGCCTTCCTCAGTTGACCTCGCCTCCCGAAGATGCAGGAACAGATGCCCAAGGCCCCACATTGGGCAGTCAATTTGTTGGAAACGGAAACATGATTAAAATACCAACAAAATTGGATTGGTAAGAAAAAGAGTTTATTCTGCAGAAAATAGAAAAGCGGTTTGCAAAGCGCGGTGGATCCTGGTGAGAGACTTCAACAGGAAGTTCTAAACCCAGAGACCACACAAAAATATTCAAACTCATAACATTATATACACTCCTATCGCGACGCCCCCATCCCCTCCCCTTAGGTCCCATTTGAGAGGACTTCCGGGGGCACAATCTGTCCGATCCGAATACGTAATCCCTCCCCTTCAGTTACATTGTTTAGAACTTCTCTCTGCCATCCTTTTGTCTTGTTAAGTGTGTCTTCTAGCCAAGCCTCCTGAAATCTAGTGCCTACGTGCAGGGCTTGGCTAATCCTTCTATTGTTAATCAATTGTGACCGTTTTATTTTTAAACTTCTTCCTTTCTCACAAATGCCAAGCATGCAGACATGATAGCAGTATTCCAGTATTTAAGGGGTTGCCACAAAGAAGAGGGGGGTCACGTTATTCACCAAAGCACCAGAGGGCAGGACAAGAAACAATTGTTGGAAACTGATCAAAGAGAGAAGCAACCTGGAATTAAGGTTAACCTGACAGTGAGGACAATTAACCAGTGGAATAGCTTGCCCCCAGAAATCGTGGGTGCTCCATCACTGGAGATTTTTAAAAAGAGGCTAGACAGTCACTTGTCTGAGATGGTATAGGTTCTCCTGCTTGAGCAGGGGGCTGGACTAGAAGGACTCCAAGGTCCTTTCCAGCTCTATTCTATTCTATTCATGCTGCAGGTCTGCTGGAGATGCCTGGGGAGTGGATTTACCCTGTTATCTGGGAACAGTTTGATCCTGTTGGACCTGAGGAAGTGGACAGGGTCCTTTGGACTGTAAGCATGGCCACCTGTGAATTAGATGCATGTCCCTCCTGGTTGGTCAAGGCTGCCCAAGAAGTGACATGTGAGTGGGTCCTAGCAATGGTTAATTCATCCTTGAGGAAGGGGGTGTTCCTGGCACCATTCAAGGAGATGCTGGTGCATCCTCTTTTCAAGAAGCCATTGCTGGACCCCACCATTTTGGACAACTTTCCTCCAAACTTCCATCTTCCCTTTTTAGGGAAGGTGGTTCAGTAGGCAGTTGTGCTGCAGCTCCAGAAGATCCTGGATGAAACGGATTATATGGACCCCTTCCAGTCAGGTTTCAGCCCCAGATATGGGACAGAAACTACATTGGTCAGGCTTTTGGATGATTTCTGGCAGGAGTGGGATGGCGGTAGTGCATCCATCTTAGATCTTCTTGATGTCTCAGCGACTTTTGATCCTGTCGACCATGGTATTTTTTTTTCATCAGCTTTGGGAGTTGGGGATATTCTGTGCTGACTCACCTCCTTCCTTGGAGTCTGGTCCCAGTCGGCATTGATAGGGGGCAAGAGATCCAGCCTGCACCCCCTGATCTGTGGGGTGTTACAGTGCTCAGTACTGTCTCCACTTCTTTTTATATCTACATGAAAATGCTGAGTGAGATCATCCATCACCATGGGATGAGGTATCAATATGCAGATGATATCTAGTTGTACATCTCCGTTCCTGGTCAACTAAGTGATGCTGTGGATGCCCTCTCACAGTGCTTGGAAGCTATGGGGGTCTGGATGGGGAAAAACAGACTTCAGTTGAACCCTGGTAAGACAGAGTGGCCGGGTCTCTTCTATATCTGGAGGTTTACCATCTTTCATTCTGGGTGGGGTTGCACTGCCCCAGATGGACCTGTTGCATGATCTGGGAGTCATCCTGGATTCACAACTCCTGCTTCAGGAGCAGGAGGCAGTCATGACTAGGAGGACCTTTGCTCGGCTTTGTATTGTGTGCTAGTTATGCCCCTTCCTGGATCGAGAGGCCCTTCTTTCAGTGACTCCTGCCCTGGTCATCTCCTGTATTGACTACTGCAGTGCGATCTACATGGGACTACCCTTGAAGAGTATCCAGAAGCTGCAGCTGGTGCAGAATGCAGCGATGTGAGCCGTTTGGGGCACCCCTTGGGTTGTGCATATAACACCTTTGCTACATGAGCACTGGGTGCCAGTTTGCTTCCAGGTCCAATTTAAGGTGTTGGTTATCACCTTTAAAGCTCTTCATGTCATGGGACCAGGTTATCTGAAGAACCATGTTGCCCCTATTTTATCAACCCATTCCAATTGGTCAGGCAGGGAGGGTATATTATGGACCTCATCGTTTAGAGAATTTTGACTGGGGAGGTCTAAGATGAGAATCTTCTCTGCTGTTGCCCCCACTCTATGGAACAACTTGCCCCCAGAGGCAAGGTAGCCACCCACTCCTAGACTTTTGGAAGAGGGTCAACACCTGGCTCTGCCAACTGGCCTGGAGGTCTCAGAGTGTTATGGAACCCTGGGGATGGTTGGTGGGTTGAGGGGGCTCCCTCTGCCTTTTAATTTTGTAATTGTTCTGTAATTCTGTTTTTAACTTTAACAATGGTTTTTATATGATTTTATTGTTTTATTTGTAAACAGCCCAGAGTCACACAAGTGTGATGGGTGGTATAGAAATTTGTTAAATAAATAATATTAGCATTCTAAAACTTCCATCTCCTCTCCCTCTGTGTATGTTGCTTGCCTTGTCTAATATACTTATATATTGTTTAAACAAGCACACAAAATATATTAATAATATATACTAATATTAATTGAATATTAATAATACATAAATATGTCTGTTGAAATTATATAAATAAACCATGTATAAATACAGTCCCATGAACAGTTAATTTATATGTATATATTTAGTACTTATTGTAGTTCTTTTCAGGCTCTTGATTTTTGCTTTTTCTTAGTTGTGTGATCTGAAAGCATTCATTGGGCATTAGCTAATTATTGAAAATATGGTTAATGATCTACAGGTAATTTTCAGCTTGTATGAAATGGCAAGCAATAAGCAATAAAGAATTGTTTTGTCCAAAAGATAAGGTTTAATACTGTTCTGTTTGCTCTGTGTATAAAGCAGATAAATTTCTTCATATGACTTTGGATATTTATTCAAATAAAATGGTTATTTCCTGCTTTTTTAAGGCATCTACATTTCAAATGGCAATCTTGCTGCAATATAACACAGAAGATGCCTACACGGTTCAGCAGCTGACAGATAGTACTCAGATAAAAATGGTAAATCTTCATATGTTACTATATGTTTAATTCTTACTGTATAATATTTAGTTTAGTCAAAGAGTTAAAATACAAAACGCTAAATTATTTAAAAGAAAAAAAAAAAATACAAGACATTATAAAGAAAAAGTGTCTTAAAAAAAGAAAAAAAGACTAACACATATACACATAATATCCTCCCTAGTTGAATGCTGATTAATATAATACAACAGTGTTACTTTCCCACCCCTTTTAAACTGCTAAATCTGTTTACAAATTGTTAGCCTGTCATCTATATACTATATTAATAACAAAATAGTTAACAGAAAAAACAGTAATAAACATATAAAAGTATAAAAATGATAAGAATTAATAATTAATAAATAATTTTTCTCATGTATAGCACAATTTCACTTCTCTTAATATTACATTTAACTTAATCTGAGTTTTTTCCTGTTTAAATGCAGTTTGTGCATGGTCTTATAAAAACTATTAAGCTAAATGTATTGTTGCTTATGTTCTTCCCTATTAGCTGTAAAGCTTATAACTACAGAATGAATTAGGTATGGTATTGATTAACTCATTTTCTTTACTTTTTAATTTTCAGGATATTTTAGCACAAGTACTTCAGATTTTATTAAAGTCAAAATTGTTGGTGAGTGCTTTTGTTTTGGGAGGGTGGAGAAATAATGTGTTAATATGTTCTCACATTGCTTGTCTTGTTTTTTCATAGGTTTTGGAAGATGAAAATGCAAATGTTGATGAAGTGGAATTGAAGCCAGACACTTTGATGAAATTGTACCTTGGCTACAAAAAGTAAGAAAGATAGTTGAATAAAAACACCTAGTCATAATTGTTTTTCTTAGGATGGTAGAATAAATATTATCCAAAAAGTTCTATATTTATTAAAGATAGCAATGATATGTTTGCATTCCTGTCATAGTACTATTCCAGTCAAACACTCACAACTCTGTACCAATTTTATTCACACTGTAAATGAATGGACAATTGACTACAATTAGATCTAGATCTTGGCTTTCATAACGTTTTTTTAACAACTTGCAGTACTGTTCTTCAGCTGTCAATCAAGACTAGAATTCAGGTCATGTTTCCAAAGCAGCCAAATCTTACATTCCCTGAACAAACACAAATCCCAAGGTGTAAGTTGAAACACATTTGTTTAACTGCAATATTTTTAGAATGTAGAATATCCTTTTGTAATGAATAAGCTTTATAATAAAAAGAGGTAACAAAAATCTCTGAATATTCCCCTGTGATATTGGTTACAAGATTCTGCTCCAAAAATGGAGTTCCATGCAAGTTAGGGTTTTCACAATTGCTTCAGAATTGAGTACACTGCACAAAAATACCCATAAATAAACATAATTAATAAATAATACTTTTATGATCTTTCAGATTAGAGTTAGGGTTAGGATAAGGGGCCATTGAAACCACAGGTCATGTCCTGTTATATTGCACCTTCTATGTGGATTCACAGACTTATTTTATAACTCCTTACCTGACAAAATATCTGGGAAATTCCAATTTATTTTATGTACAGCTGTTACTATCAGATCAGTATGATCGTTTCTTTGAACGTAGCTAAATTCTACTATACAGGTAAGTCCTCAACTTACAACCATTCATTTAGTGACCAAAGTTACAACAGCTCTGTAAAAAGTGACTTACAACTGGTTCTCACACTAATGACCGCTGCAACATCCTCATGGTCATGTGATCAAAATTTAGGTGCTTGGCAACTGGCATGTATTTATGACAATGGCAGAATCTCAGGGTCACGTGATTGCCTTTTGTGACCTTCCCAACTGGTTTCTGACAGGCAATGTCAGTGGGGGGGAAGCTGGATTCACTTAGTGACTGCATGTTTCACTTAAAAACTGTAGGGATTTGCTTAACCATAGCAAAAAAGGTCATAAAATTGGGCATGATTCATTTAACAACCACCTTGCTTAGCAATGGAAATTCTGGTCCCAATTATGGTTATAAGTCAACTACCTATATACTGTCTGTAAAATTAGGCAGATTTTAGCCACTCATCGATGATCTCACCATTAATTGTAGTACCCTATTATGTCTTGTTCTGTTTCATTTTATTTTATTTAAATTTGAAGACAGAATGAAAGCTGCCAGAATGAGATGAACTTGAAATACCCATTGGACTGTTTAAAGCTTCAGGAGAATTGGTTCATGCTAACTGCCTTATTTGAATACATATGGAACAAAGATTGAGTGACATGCAAGATAATGTGCAAGTTACTGAATCATTGCAATAATACTTCACAAAACATTTTGCTTAAGATATTTCGAAGAATACAACCATGCATGGACAGAGACATGCCAGATGAACAGCCAGGTTTCAGAAAAAATAAAGAGGCAGGAGATCAGTCAGCTAACAGAAGAGGTATAAATAAAGAGAGCAGCTGTATACCTTTTCTGTGTTGAAGATAGTAAGGCAGTTAATTTTTGTAGATCATACTAGTAGGTGGAATATACTGTATTAAGGCTAATTGCAAGAATATCTGATTGTTCTTCTGAGTAATCTTTGAAGCAACTGTAACAATTTAGATAGGAGAAAGAGTGGTTCAAGAAAGGGAAGAGCATGAAATATACATATATTGTCCATATAACTATTTAATTTATATGCTGAATATATTCCAAGACTAGTAGGATTGGGAAAAAATGTTGGATCAAACCACTAACAGTTTGAGGGACACAATCTTTTTGTTAACCAAAAGTCAAGAGGACAGAATAAATTATCACAGTAAAAAATAAAAAAAAATGGAATGCTGTTCATTGTCAACCTGTACACTTAATAAAGTTTCTGCTGAGAGCCAAGAAGTGAAGCTTCTGGTTTCTCCATTCATGAAGATGGATAATATGCTGAAGAAGTAAAAGTTCTTTATTATCTCTATAAAAGTTGATAATTATAGAGGAATGTATTCACATGCTGCAATAAGATTGTGAAGTATAAGGTCACTTTTATGACAAGCACCAAAATAATTGGTTTTGGGTTCTAGAGTTTCTGAAGATTGGTCACCCTTCCCCCTCAATTTTAGTTTAAAGCCCTCCTGGCCCAACTCATCAGGAGGGCTTTAAACTAAAATTGAGGGGAAGGGTGATCAATCTTCAGAAACTCTAGAACAGGGGTAATCAACCTTTTTATACCTACCGCCCACTTTTGTATCTCTGTTAGTAGTAACATTTTCTAACCGCCCACCAGTTCCACAGTAATGGTGATTTATAAAGTAGGGAAGTAACTTTACTTTATAAAATTTATAAAGCAGAGTTACAGCAAGTTAAAGCATATAATAATAATTACTTACCAAATTCTTTATGTCAGACTTTTGCTAAGTTTGGCAGAATAAATCTTTATAAAACAACTTACTGTAGTTAAATCTATCTTTTTATTTATACTTTGCATACATAGAAGCATGAAGTCTGATGAAATTATATTTAATTAATTAAATTGTTAATGAGATCCCTGAGGCTGATGCTGCGAAACTAAATACTGGATATCTGGCTCAATTTTTGTAAGGAACAAACAAAGGTCTCCTCTTTCGGAAATATTCAGGCGGTTTCTTTATTTGGTCATAATATGATTAACGCCTGATTCCACAAGATATGAGGTAGGGAAAGGTATCAATAAACTGAATATCATTTTCCACATATTTGGATATAAGACAGACATTTTTTTACTTTGCCATAGATTTTCATATCCACCACTATTGAATTAATGTTAACTTTCTTCATCATATCTAATTTCTAACAGTTCTTCTTGGCAAGTTGTATCAGCCTCTTCAATATTTGCGGTAAAAGGATTTTTCATCCAGTCATACATCAATTTCAAAATATCTTCAAATCATTTTTCCATGTCCAATTTAAGTTCGGTGAGGTGGCTACTGAATCTGTCAATATCCTCTGGAGTTACATCATCTTTTATAGATGATAATTCAGGAAACTGATGAAATTCTCTCTTCAATAGATTATAACAAAGTAGTTCAAGTTTGTCAATAAATAATGACACAATACTTTGGCAACCTATAAGAGTTTTATTAGCTCCTTGAAGCTGCAAATTGACATCATTAAATCTCTTGAAAATATCTGCCAAATAAAAGGCATCATTCTTTACTGTTTTTAACTGTTGACACAGATTGGTCTCATTATTTCTTTCAAAAAATTGTATGACACTATCATATAATGCTACAAAACGAGCCAAAGATGTACCCTTTGACAGTCACCGAACTTGTGTGTGCAAAAGTAACGTAATAAAATCTTCATTATTGTCCTGGCAAAGCTGTCGAAACATTCTATCATTTTTTGCATTGGATTTGATCTTGTTTATGGCTCAAATTATTATAGTTAATGATGAATGGAGACTTGTACTTAGATGTTTTCCTACAAGATGTTGTCTGTGCACCACACAATGAATACATANTAAAGTATGATTTCACAGTATTAAATATAGATAATCCTCTTGTATCTGTAATGAGATTTATTGTGAATAGCATTTCTTCTCGTAATGTATTGTTTTCATCAAAATAATGTACATATGCCATCAATAAAGCATTATTATCTGCAATTGTAGACTCGTCCAATTGCATGGAAAATGAAGAGTTTTGGAGAATACTTATCAGGTTTTTTTCAACATAACTGCCATTTCTTCAGTTCGTCACTTTACTGTGCTACCGCTTAGGGGCAACGTTTTTAAAATTTCAGGTATATCCTGATGCATTACTGCTGAGATAAATTCTTTTATAGAGGGTATTATTACAGTTTCTCCAATATTATAGCTTTTACCACTTTTTGCAATTAATTGTGAAATGTGATAAGCAGCAATTAATCCATCTTCATTTGCTGCATGTTGTTTCTTAAATGATGCAACAATTGTTGAATGATTTTGAAATTTTTTATATTTCCTGAAAATATTCAATGGGCTTGTCCTTATCATTTGGATGCTTTGTAGAAAGATGTTCTCGCAATCGACTTGGCTTTATTGCCTCATTGGATAATGTTTTATGACACAATAAACACATTGGATGTTGTTTATTTACAACAGATTCTATGAAACTCATCTTCAGATAATCTGGCAAATAGCCACGAGCATATTTCTTTTTTTGAGACATGGACTCACAATATTTTGTTTGAAGCTGTAGGCACGTGCTCACTCTCACAAATCTAACTGCGTACTGACCAGTGCAACCGCAAACAAAAGAGCCTGCGCCGTGTATCATCGTCTGCGCATGCCTCTCGTGCATTGTGGATTGGGTTTGGGGGGGACACTGGCTACCAGCTCTGCTTGTCTGTTACAGCTGGGTGGTGTGGGGGGAGATGCGCGAGCTATTCTGAGATGAGGCTCTTTTGTTTGCGGTCGCACTATAGCGCCATTTAATTTCACTTACGTAACGTGAACTAAACTTATGCGCAGGCGATACAAATAGTATATTTTCAGAAATTTAAATTGTCATGGGGAATTTTATGAAAACCTAATGAAAATGTTTTAAAATAATGCTATGAAAATTTTTTAAAAAGTCAATTAAATTAAAAAAAGGAAACTGCTTCAGTATCGGACAAAACCCCTACTGCCCACCATGAAAGCTGGAACGCCCACTAGTGTGCGGTAGGGACCAGGTTGACTACCACTGCTCTAGAACCCAAAACCAATCACAAATTCCAAGAAAACAAATCAAACAACGAGGTAGGCAGTGATGAGAAAAAAGAAAAACTCGAACAACAATCAGGAGATGCAGGAAACATACCCACGGAGAGGCATAAAAGTCTTAAATGCTTATATACAC